ATAATATTTTGACTGTAATTCGTACGTCAATATCGCCAATTTCATCGTTCAATAAGTGATGTACTATAAACGTTAATTAAAAAATTATTTATCTTTATTTCTGTTTATTTCTAAATTGGAAAATGCGCGAATATAACATTAATGATGGTAAATTTAGATTGATTTTTTGCATATCTATATTTGCCATTTTTAAAACAGGTTCCACTTATTACTTCTCCCAATCTTATTGATTTTTATTTTTCCATGGCTCGTATAATTAATGGTATTTCGTGATTCGATGAAGTATAATCTCGCGTTATAAAATATCGTATACGTAGATACGTATGATCGAGTTATTATTATTATTTTATAAGAATAAAACTATACTCGTGTTAAAACAGCTAATCGAATAAATCAAATTTATTTATAAAATGGCATTATGAAATAGTGATGTATCGGCGATAGAATTGCAAATTCATTTGCAGTCTTTGTTTATCGCGCTTACATGAACGCTCATTCGTTACACCGTTCATGTTACATTCCGACATAGAGAATATGGATTTCATTTTTCGATATTATTGTCATCGCAACATTAAACGGCTAACAATTATTATGCACCGAAGTAAAGCGAACACGCGTCATATCAATATAAAGAGTAATTAACGAAAACAAATACCGTGACGTTTTATCATCCCACATTGGATTGTTAGTTATACGTAATTGCGAAACATTGTTCACTTTCTTGTATCCGGATTGCATTTTCAATGGTACGCTCGACATAATCATACAATCAACTTACAAATTTGCAATTCTTGCATAAAATAATTTTCCGTTATTTTTATTTTTTTTTTCTCTCATATTCGACATGCCATTATACGTGTTACATTGAATACACATTGGACAAATTAATAGCGATGATTATATAAATATAAACTATTGTAAAACAATAGACCGTAGAGTAATAATGCAAATATATTACGGATTTAAGAAAAATATATAAATACATGTCGTGACTTTGAAAAATCACTAGACTCTATGAATCAAATTCTATAGGTCTCCGTAGATATTTCTCCGTAATTTAAAAAAAGAAGAAGAAAAAAAATTAAAACTACAGCTTAGAAATTGGTATTTCAAATTCGTTATACCATGACCTTGAATGGACGTTACGCCCACGAGAAAGAAATATCCTTCTAATAGTCATTAGTTTTTTCCTTGACATTCTCGCGAACAATCTACTAGCAACGAAGAAAGTAAAGAGATGTAAATCTTTCGGATAATTAAGTCATTGCTTAGCTGAGCCTTGACTGTTTTGTCAAAACAGTAAGTCTCGCCGCTTTCGTTGAGCTGCAGCTAATGTGCATAGTTTATGTTCTCCATGAGGTGAGTCGTAAAATATATGTCTAAACTAGTATACAACGTAGGCTGTGTAAAAAAGAGTCATTTTATGAGATTGCAAAGAGCATTTAACGCGATTTAACGATCAACAGACATCAACAGACGTGAATCAAATATATTTTCCCTTTTTTTTTCAGTTCTTTGGCTATTCCCCACCGATATTCATAAGAATAATACACATTAATTTTACGTTTAATTTATTCGAATATTATATCTTTCTCACTTGTGAGTTATTAATTCAGCTTTCATCCACTCTTCTATTCGTATAAAATGCTATTTTATTAAATTCAAGATCGTATACGTGTATCGTTCAAAAATTTATTAATTGGGCCTCCGAATTTCAAGTCGAAAACTGTTATGATTTACCTTTTGAGCTTTCGAACTTTATGCAGGAAATTTTTAACGATCATTTTTATCCCATTTTAATATATTTTTATAAATAATAACAAATACATATATATATATATATATATATATATATATATACGCGCGCGCGCGCGCGCGCGTGTGTGTGTGTATTTGTAGAGGAGTTACTTAAATTTGAAGTCAATTTATCTTTCTAAGTAGCTATAAAATTATCGATTAAAACTTTATGATTTGCTAAAATTATTTGAGACGAAGGCCATTAAATTTGATATATATCATGCAAATACATATGAATGCACTTCTGGTTAGTATTTAGGTAAATTGGAAATTTATCTATTTATCTGCCATATATCATTGAAAATATATTCGGAATGATAATCAGTGCACAATCGTCTGTTTCGTCTGAAAATTTCTTTCTCAATTTAAATAACCCTTAAAACATTTTTTAATATTATTTTCATACATAAGATCGGATCCATTAATAAACTAAAAAGTTCGCTTACCCAATGCTATATTTATAATAAGTTATTTTTAAGTAGACGTATAAAAAGATGCATAAATGTACATTTGATTTGCTAATTTATCATCATAAATTTAGTTTGATTTGCAGGAGCATTCAATTAAACTGTCAAAGGAAAAGATTTTTAAAATATTTCTTTTGATTTCTTTATTATTAATAAATCAATTTTATAAGTTGGCCTTAGAGGCGGTAATAAGATGCGACGAGTATTAGGAAAGAAAGCGGTAGTTGCCAATAATACAATGATAATTACCTATTCGTTTTTCATTTCGATGTTATAGCCTGGCAAAAGCAAAAGGAAATGAAGACTTTAGCTTATTAATGAAGCGCGCACATAAAAAATTAAATAACCTGTGTACACAGAGGTGGCATAAAAAATACATTAAAAACTTTTATCGGGGGTTATAAATATCTCTTTGCTCCTTAATGAAATAACGTAAATCCTAATTAATATTCGGTTTTGCATTAATTTCATCGATGAGCGATAATAAATTAGTATTTTGTATAGTAAAACAAACAATATTTCAAAAGCGGTGGTAAGTAACACTAAATTTGCATTCATAAATCCGATCATGACTTTATTGCATAATAATAATGTTACAAGAAAATTCGAATTTGTAGAATTATAATCATATTTTTTGTAATAAAAAAAAATAATTTTTAAATTAAACAAAAGAGTTACATATATTCACATGATAATCATATATTATACAAAGAATCTAAATTAGACTAAAGCTTGACAGTATTACAGGCATACATGCACACATCTAGTGTCGCAATTTCGAATTTACAAATTGATCTTCCGCCGAGTAAAAAAAAATATTAGGAAATACAAAAAAATTGCAATTGAATTAAAAAGTAATTGAATTAATGTAATCTTAAAAAATGTGTATGATAAAGTTACGCACAGGCATTATGAAAAATACGAACATTTTTTCTGCAATGCTAGTAAAATGAAAAAGAATGGGGAATCGGAGATTCAAGCCGGGAGAATGCAGTTTCACTGTGCAAATACGAACAATATAAAATAGCCGGTTTTGCCGGACTGAGCGATGCACGCGTAATTGCAATCGCGGGCTTAGCAAAGCTCGTACTTGCGTACGTGAAGGTAAGCCGCAAGTGTCAAGTGCGCATCGGCGCTCGTTTCGAATCGCATGTGTAGAGTAAAGCTACGTAAAACCGGGTCAGAGTGAAAGTAAAATTTGTGTGTACACAAGCGCGTACATGTATATCCGCTCCTTTCTCTGGCTTGTTATTTTTTTACATTTCAAACAATATTTTTCGATCTGAGTACTGGCAAATAAAATCTGAAGAGCCACTGCTCTTTGCGAGCAAACGCTGTTCATTAATATCCGTTAGTTAGACTGATTATATCAAATGCTAAATAAATTGAAATTTTTCTGGAATTTCAGAGTCTAAAATACATGTGCTAATTGGCTAATTAGACAGATTAATCAGTCTATTGCATTATATTTGATATATTACGTTCAAATAGTGAATTTTTAAATACCGTTTTTATCTCGTAAAAATCTTAAGGCTTCAATTGGTCCTTATAACTATTTATTGTATATTAAGGAAAGTAACAAATGCTTAAAGCTTTGATTTAATTTTAAGTGCTAAATTTTTGCACTCATAATTTAAATAAGTTATTTTTACACCAAATGTCTACACAGGTTATTCTTTTTTTTTTTTTTTTTTTTTTTTTTTTTTTTTAATACATATATATTGTGATTTTCATACAAATAAAATGTTTTATGGTATTATATATAATTATTTATACTACTGCGTTACGAAGTTAAAAAAAAATGATTGCAATATTAGTTAAAATTTTCAATGTATTTCGAGATATTTAGCTTTTATGAATACAAACAATCAAAGTCAAGATCCTTGAATCAAATTAACCGTCTCAATAAGAGTTCGGACACTTGGCTTAAGTATTGACTTTATTAAGTTCTTACGAGTTCTTTCTGTTAAATACAAATGAGATAAAATAAGATGTTCTTTAATCGTTAAAAACAAAGAACAATCCAACTAGTTATGATAAAATAATATATTCTAATTATAATTTTTGTTTTCAAAGACGTTTTACTTTATTAACAAAATTAATGTTTATAATATTTGCATTGCTTATAATATATTTACAATAAACGGTCATATATTATTTACTATATAGTAAATTTGTTCATTAGATAGACAAAACTTAGAATGTACACAATATGTAGTGGAAAATGTTAATCTTGACAAATAATTTACTTATTATAAACAAAGTAAACTATTATTTGAACATTATTATTAAAATAAGAATAGAAAGTATCAATAATATTGATTACAGATGCATGTGAAAATGACATTATTATGTACGTGTACAGCCACAGACGATAAGCATTATGAAATTAATTTAGGGTAACTTATATTATTTTTATAGCTTTAGTAAGTTTAATCCCGTGATATCCAATAACAAAACAACTTTAAAATATTAATGATCGAAATTAATTGCAAAATATATAAAAAAATATATAACCCAATATATGCTTAAGGTATTTAAATACAATTAAATCATATACGAAATATAAAACTAAATTTTCTGTGCAACGCATATATTATACAGAATTTCTTTTAATTTAACATTATCAATGAAATGAAAGAGCCGATATATATATATATATATATATATAAATCACGTGATTAAATAATAATAACTGTAACTTTTTAACCGATTTCTTTTATTATTTAGGTAATTGGTGGCTCAAGTGTTTTAAATACGATGCTTTACATTCGAGGTAATCGCCGTGACTTTGATCAATGGGAAAGTTTCGGAAATCCCGGTTGGGGCTACAGAGACATTCTTTACTACTTCAAAAAGTCCGAGGATCAAAGAAATCCCTACTTAGCAAAGGATAAAATCTATCATCAAACTGGTAATTATTTCCTTTATAATTTATTAACGAGAATTCTAATATTACGTACAGAAAAAAACAACAATAATTTACTTAAAAATAACATTATAATAACAATTTAATAATAGATTCATTGATCTTATTACCAAATAGTTATTAATATAGGCTAAACACTAATAAAAACTAATGAATATCAAGAGTTATTATGAACTTTATAGGAAAAATAACAAAGTTCATATGTAAGTTGCCATTAAATTAATTACTAGTAATAATTAATTATCGTATAATCATCTTCGTATAAATTATAAAATTTTTTGTGTAGTAAAAATGCTGCAACAACATCTATTTATATTCTTTCATTAAACTTACCAATATAAGCAGCCATTGAAAAGACGTAGCGAGTAACAATTAATAGACAACCTAAAATAGGTCGCATTTTTAATGGCTAATCATCGTAATACTTTGTGTGTATTTGTATCAATTTTATCCAATGTTATGATAAAAATATAAAAACTATAACCAATATATTGTGAGATACAAATATAATGAAGTTCGCATTATGTACATTTGTGTAAAGTCGTGGAGTAACTCAGTGATTTATCGTTTTTCGCGGGAAGCGGCACCAATAGAAAGTTGGAGAAATTAAGCGATCGTGCGAGTTTTTGACTTTCAAGCTTGCGACACAATTTCATAGTTTAGTGTCGTCTTCATGAATAAATGAAGACTCGAGTGACGTATCCCGTAGTTCCGTAAACTGCGTTATCGGGTCTGCAATTATAGCATCGCTTATATACTTAAAAAAAAAAAAAAAAGAAAGAAAGAAAAAAAAATTGTGTATGCCAATCACGATACAGTAACTATTAAGCGATTACGACACTTGTTTAAATAATTATTTAAAATCAAATTAAATATTTCTATGTTTAATAAAATAATTTTTATTTCTATGCATCTAAAAGAAATCTATTTTTTTAATTTCTCAAACAGAGATTACACTCCTCTTCTAACATAATTAAGGGATATAAATTAAATGATTAATTGAATTTAAATTTAAATGCAAAAGAAGTTTTTACTATGATAATTTATAGACAATAAGAAATTAATGCAAGTGATGCAAGCAGTAATAATTCATTTCATCGTCAATAATTTTAAAAATGAAATAGTTCATTAATTTTCATTTTCATTGAAAATCCAACGCCGTTTCATTAAACTGTAGTAAAATTAATTGATTTCCAACAGAATTAAAATATTATATATAATACTCTAAGATTCGTTAAAAAATTATGTTTTATCTAACAATAATTCCTTAATAGTTAACATTATTTTTAAATATATGTTTATGGTTAATAAGCTAGTAAATATTTATTTATATATAAATTTTTTATCATAGTAATATTACTTTGATACTTCGAATAAATTCATTATTAAATTACATATTTTACAAATAGATGAACAATTTTGAAAAAATTTTTTTCTCTAATAAAAATATTATAATTTGGTAAACTGAAATTTAGGTTTACAGTTTTTATAAATCAAACTACACTCTTTTGTGAATTAATGATAAACAATATTCATTTCAATTTATCGCATGCAATGATATAATAGTTGCCTGTCTTTATCTTAATATACGGACAAAAAATACAATACATATTAATAAGAAATAATATAGTTAACAATGTATTTTTATTATAAATAACATTGTATTAATTTAACTTTGTTTAATTATTAAGTTGTTATATACTTAAGAATTTCCATACATATACTTGTTGTATACATGTTTGAATTAAAATACTGCTTAATTTTTTCTGAAGTTGAAAACTTTAAATACATAATAGATGATTTTATAATTAATTTTTTTTTTTTTTTTTGCTTCGGAACTCCTTATCTACATTCAAATTCATTATGATATTTCCTAAAATTGGGCATTATTTGGACCGTGTAATAGAATGATATGCTTACAAAAAAGAATTTTACTTACTGCAGTTTCAATTAATTTAATGAATAAAGTAGTTAAAAGCATTAAAAATCTTATAATAAAGGATTTTTATTGTCCTATATGGACGCTATATTATCATTGGGTTGCAAAAATATTTAATAAATCATTAGGTATCATATTAAACTTGGATGGAATTTTTTTAGATAATGTATCTCTAACATTGGAATTTATATTTTTGAAAATATATTATTAAATAAAATTTCAAGAAATCATTTTTTATAATTAATTACATACAAATTTATATCATTTTTTATAATAAAAATTTGCATCAGTAATAATTAAATTGTATAAAAATAATATAATGTTGACTATAATTTTATATGTACCTGCTCAAATATGTTTACATATTGCTTATTAATAATTTATTAATACTTATAGCTTTTCGTTAGTAGCTTTAAAGCATTAGAAAATCGAGAATCTTTAAGACTTTTAGTCTAAGAAGTAGTTTAAGAAATTTGTAAAAGATAATGTATGTTGATGTAAAAATCATCAACATACACTTCCTACATTACATATGTAGGTATTAATAGGAAAATTTGAAAATTAAATAGCTAAATAATAAAATTTAATAACAAAGTATTTATATATAATGTAAATGCCAAGCTTTCAATTAGGTAAATTTCTCTTTAATGCGAGAACGTCAAGTAATAAAAGAAAATTTCTTTTATACGATTTTGTTTTAGTTCAATTCAATTCAAATTCTTGATTCATTTATTATTATCCATTCTAATCTAATATAAGTTTTATACTAAGTTTCTAGAAATTCTAAAAATAGCTGAATAAGCTGTAAAATTAAAAGTTTTTAATTACTCGGATGAATTACTTAGTATAATAAAAATGGTATACTATATGAAAATTTCGAAATACTTTGAGCAGATGAATTATATCAAAAATCTATTTCAATGTTTATTTACAATTATGTTTTAAATAAAAATTCTACAATATGATACAATTAATTTTTTATATAAGGCAAAGTCATAATAGAACATATTCAAATTAGACGGCAATTAAAGCTACATTGTGCTATTATTGATATATTAATCGTTCAAATTATCTTTACGACACATCATCATTCGATATAACCCAATTTCTAACTGATATTCACCAATAAATCTTGAAATTATAAGCATCTCTAATAATATTGACTCACAGATATATAAAAAAAAAATAAAGTATTGAAACCAAATATTCTAGCTAACATAAAAATTAAATTTTAAACATTATGAAATATTATTAAAAATCATACTCTCAGGTTTTGGTAAAATTGTTCGACTTTCCTTCTCATGGAATGTGCTTACATTTTCGTTATTCCGTCATTATATACATAAAATAGCAAAAATTCATAGTTGCCTTGATTTTGTAAGCGCGGTACCGGAGAACACATTATTGACGCAATCACGACTCACGTGAGATCTCGCAATTTTGCGCGCAATTCGAAAAGAAACGCGAACGCTCGTTCACTGGGTCAATTTATGTCATTAAAAAAAAAAAAAAAAAAGCAAACGTCAACCGGTTTTATACGGACCGGCTATGAAATATATTAGCTTACTATATCCGTCTATTACTATATATATTTTATTTTACGGTACGTTGGATTTTCATTGAATCAGGTGCGTTTTCGTGCATGCGTACCTTGTATGTGTATAAAAATAACACATTTTTACTAGAAAATTATCTAATTGATATGTTAAATGTGAGAATTTTTATCTACATCTATTCTAATCTTAATTACGACTAAAAATGCTTCCGAAAAATGAACTTTAATATAATTATTAAATTACTTACTAATAATATGTTTTATGATTTTGATTATGATTATTATTATATATTGCTCCAACAAGAAAAATTAAAAAATCAACTTTTAGATAAAAAGTAAAAGTTGAGAAGAAATTCAGATGGATTAATTTTTAATTTATGATTCAATGTGTAGAAATGAATGATTAGTACTTTATATTTATATTTATTTTATAAAATAATATAACCCTTATATGTAGATACTATGTCTAAATTATATATAGCGATGTATATATTTTCAAATCATTATTATATTATTTACAATTCGTATTAAATATTTTTTCTTTCATATTTATCAAAAATATTCAATAAATGTCGATTATTGGTACAAAAAAATAAAATTAAAATAAGAAACATTCGTCAATAAATATTAAGTTTTTTATTATCTAAAATGCATTGCAATTTTCTTTATAATATTAGTGGTTATTGAGGATTTATTTAGCAAAAGTTTTGCCGTAATTTTCATTTATAATCCGTTCGATTCTCGCATTCAGATCACACTTTTCTTAAAGTAGAAAGCGCTCTTATTGTACTAGTATTAATAATATATTTGTCTTCTTTTACATGAAATCCTGCATTATCTTACACGTGCTCTGTAAATTCTTTTATCTAGTCCAATAAATCTATTATTACAATAATTATTGTTATTATAATTATTATTGACATTACTTATTAATTTATCTATTAATATAATATCTACTGAGAATAGATTTTTCGTAAAATTATGTAGATATACATTATTTTATATATAGTGCGATGGACATAATATTAATAACAAATCAATTTAAATAATATGCTAAAGTTTTTGTTTCCTATACTTCACATTCTATATTTTACACAATTTATACTAAGTCACAAGGATTGCTATTGACAATAATCGTTATTTTAAAACAAACAAACATAGAGATGTGGTGATTGGAAAATTATAAGCCAATAATACATTGCGCGAGTAGAATATATAATAGTAATACGATTTCTGAAGTTTTTTAAACAATTTTCTCCATCGACGATCAATGTCGCGTTTAAAGATGCGTATATTCCAACTGAATTTATAAATTTTTCTATTTATATTTTATTTAATAATAAATCTTTATATTTATTTATATTTATATTTATATCAATCACTTTCATAATTGATCACTCGCATAAGGAGTAAAAAGTGTAAAACTGCTCGCTAATAAATGTCAATAGTTCTATATATAAAGTCGCTATCCTCGCACCACTCGCTCTCTTTTCCACCGGTAAATCAATCACGTCGAGTCTAAATCTAAACAGCAATATTTGTACGAACGCGTATAGGTGGCTACCTCACGATTCAGGACGCCCCCTACAATACGCCTCTGGGGGTCGCTTTCCTCGAAGCCGGCCAGGAGATGGGCTATGACATTCTAGACGTGAACGGAGCCCAGCAAACCGGCTTTGCCTTTTACCAGTACACGATGAGGCGCGCGACCCGCTGCAGCGCCGCCAAGGCCTTCATCAGACCCATCAGATTGCGCCCGAACTTTCATCTGGCCCTCTGGACCCACGTTACCCGCGTCCTCATCGACCCGGCAACGAAACGCGCCTACGGGGTCGAGTTCATACGCGAGGGCAAACGCCAAGTCGTCTACGCCCGCAAGGAAGTCATACTGTCGGCGGGCGCCATCAACTCGCCCCAATTGCTCATGCTTTCCGGAATTGGGCCCAAGGAACATCTGCAGGAGGTCGGTGTGCCCGTCCTTTACAACTCGCCGGGCGTCGGCCAGAATCTTCAGGATCACATTGCCGTGGGTGGATTGGTTTTCCTCATCGATCAGCCAATAAGCATCGTGATGAATCGATTGGTCAACATTAATTCGGCGCTCAGGTAATTCAACTTACTGCCTCGACGAACCTGAACCAAAGTGTCCTTGTCGGCGCTACCTAACTTGCGTCGAATAATAAATTATCCTATTGAATTCGATGAAGCCGAAACAAACTCGCTTACCATTCATAATTCTCGGAGGTCGCGTTTGCTCGGGCTACGCTAAATTAAAGAATAATTTTTGAAACATCAGTGTCTAATAAAAATGTTCAACGGCAATTGAATGAATTTATCCTGTCGTATTTTGAACATAACTTTTCAAACAAATTGACATCCAGTCAAAGATGCGCGCTACTAACCTTACGCTTCTAAGCCTCTCAACAAGATTATATATTAGTCCAGCCGCTTATTATTATTATTGTTGTTGTTGTTGTTGTTGTTGCTGCTGCGATTGTTGTTGTTGTTGTTGTTGTGGTTGTTATTGCTGCGATTGTTGTTGTTATTATTATTATTATTATTATTATTATTATTATTATTATTATTATTATTATTGCAAGTATATGCCATTGATTTTTATCGACGCGTGATTGAGTGGCCGAGGGCGCGTATTACTATCCATAAAAATCCTCGCACATACGAATCGTGGCAGAGCTATTAATTATATGAGAATTTTAATACGATTTACAAAACTGAAGTACGAATATCGTAAATAAACGATCGCCGTTGTAAAAGTCTTCGGCAACGGCACCAAAAACTAACGATAATTCTTCGTAATCTAAGATACGCCATAACGGAGGATGGGCCATTGACGTCGAGCGTCGGCCTCGAGGCAGTCGGTTTCATTTCGACGAAATATGCTAACGCGAGCGACGACTGGCCAGACATCGAGTTCATGATAACGAGCTCATCCACCAACTCGGACGGCGGCACCCACGTGAAAAATGCCCACGGGCTCAGTGACGCCTTCTACAACGAGGTCTTCAGCGAGATAAACAACCGCGACGTCTTCGGCGTCTTCCCCATGATGCTACGGCCAATGTCCCGCGGCTTCATCAAGCTCAGATCGAGCAATCCCCTCCACTATCCGCTTATGTACCATAACTACCTGACCCATCCGCACGACGTGAACGTGATGCGTGAAGGCGTCAAGGCGGCCATTGCCTTCGGGCAGACGTCGAGCATGAGGAGATTCGGCGCCCGGTTCCATGGGAAGCCCCTGCCCAATTGCAAGCACCTTCCCCTATTTACGGACGAGTACTGGAACTGCGCCATTAGGCAATACACCATGACCATATACCACATGAGCTGCACCGCGAAGATGGGACCGGCGACCGACCCCATGGCAGTCGTCGATCCGCAGCTGCGAGTCTACGGAGTCAAGGGCCTAAGAGTCATCGACGCATCCATCATGCCGACCATTACCAACGGCAATATCAACGCGCCCGTAATGATGATTGCCGAGAAGGGCTCGGACATGATCAAGCAGCAGTGGATGAGGAGAAAGAGACGGACTTATGGGAGCGGCAACTTCTCCGTCGCCGCATGATGACGCCTGCGATCCCGTGTCGCCGCTCTCATTTAACAACCTGACTGTCAAGTATTCTAGATAAATTAGGTTTTATCCGCTTTTCGCCCTACGAATACTCTGTTCCCCGTTTCACTTGTCAGTCGCAAGTTCGTATTAGCATTAGCAAACGTTAAAATTATTATATTTATTATAGATTAAACGGCGCGCTCGTTCGTGGAATGAAATACTGAGTTTCTTCTTGAAAGTAAGCTCCTCGGATTGATTGGTTATCAATTCGTGAGTCAGGGTTCACTTGCATTGGAGAACATAACTGAATATTTACTCGTTGATTATAATTGATAACGATGAGTGGCCAGGGTATTTATTATCAATCGGATATTCAATTAATAATGAATGCGCGAATAATTGGCCTCGGTGCGTTAACTACTCATTTTAGAGATTAATAACATATTTGAAACATACCCGACATCGAAACTTTACAATCATTTGTTTTCTAATTTATTATAATTAGCACGCTTAGTGAGTAGATAATGTCGTCCGTAACGATCGTTCGACTGTCGCGTGATGAATTCTATTTTTCTTTTCTTTTTTTTTTTTTTTTTTTTTTCCCCCCCCATCAAATACCCTTTTCCAATTTAATCGATATGAATACAATAATTTTATTGGTGACTTATGTTTTTTGATATATTCATAGCACCAATTATTTTACCTTAATAACTAATGATTTGATGCAGTGCATTGACTTATTTAAAAATCGGACGCACAAAGTTCGCCATTTAAGTTTGGAATTGAACAGTTTTTTTGACAATTTATTTAGGAATTTTTTTATTGGTGTTATTTTTTTTCTATTTTCTTTTTTTTTTTTTTTTTTTTTTTCTGTTCATTTTTATAATATTTTTTCGTAACAAATTAGAAAAGTGCGCTCTTACACGATTTTAACGATGAACATAATAAAATAAAATAAAAAGGCGCTTTCTTAAGTAACCTGAATAATTTTATGAACCTATGCTTAAATTCGGACTTGGGAGTGTCCAAATACATTTAAAATACCGTTTACAAATTATCATTGACATTATCAAGGAATTATAAATAATTATGAAAGTTTAAATGTTCTCAAAGAAATTAAAATTAATATTTCCCTTAATGCGGCACATGTCTTTTAAAATTCTCGGCTGCTATAAACGTTTTACTTTTTACATTATTACATATTTAAGTTTATCATAATTAGACAGGCGAACTTTTTTCATTCGTTCCACGTATTTTAATTATGTGTAATCATTAATACGGAGCCTTTAATAGTAATTTATATTATGAATTTTTATATGAAAAATATAATAAACATTGAGACGTTTAAAAAGACCGACATCTTGATGGATTTTAGTGAAACTCGATTCACGGCTCTGAATGAAGGAGAGGGGAGGGGAGGGGAGGGGGAGCAGGAGTCGTAAAATGAAAATATACGAAAGGTAATTATCACAGGCAAGTTAAAATATGCGGAACTAGAGCAGCAACACTTTAGCTAATTAACATTAGAGTTTTTAGCCAATAAGTAAAAGTTACCAGACTTTTGGTTGACTACTACATACGTGTCCTACTGTCTGCGCAAGCAGCCTCACTTTCGACAGAATGACTTTTCAACTGTCTTTGTGAATGCACTTGCTATAGTGTTATTTCAAAATTATCGATAAAAGGCATTGAATTCGTATCGAGTGCGTTGAACACAAAGGATTATTTAGCCTTTAGTGAATATTATTTTTCAAATATATAATGCATTTCTATTTAGTGCCATTTGTCAATAAGTGTTCGATGACGTATTTTAGTTATTAAGATTTTTCAACGAACAAAAATGTATTATGCTAGTGATTGTAAATATTTTAAACTAAGATATATAATTATAAAATGCAGTATTAAGTTAAAATTCTATTACTAATTAATTAAAATTAAATTGTACGTAATGCGCGAAAAAGATCCTATTTTTTTTTTGTTTTTAAATATGAACGATGCCAAATCACAGCGAAAAATGAATAAACTCGTATTCGTATGTGATATAAGAAATAGACGATAATTAAATGTAAAATTACTGGACAACAAAATCGAAGATATTTCAAGTTATATTAGACTTAAATTTATAAGCTTATGTCACTGTCATTTTTAATATATTGATATGATAGGATTTTATACTTTCTTAAATTTTCAGTAGAAAAGAAACATGGTACACGGATGTTTTCTCCAAGATATAGTGTAATATTTGTGTATTATATCGATGGAAATGAATTCAATAATAAAATATACAGTTTGTGCTATTGTCAAATAAGAACAGAAGGTTTCACGAAATAATATAAAAAAAAATAAAATGTTAATCTACCATAGCTTTAATGAGCCACGCAAGCTTATAAGTCTTCGTCGATACGCATGTTTATAAATAAATTATCCATTTGAAATGTTATATTACCTAATCATTAATTAATATCTGGTAAATAAAAAAAAATATGATTCCTCCAGAATCTGTGTATAAACAGAATTCAACTCATACGATAAGAGCAGTTGTATTGATTAAATAATTTATACTTGAGGATTTGTATTGTAATTAATAGTTTTATTATTTCATTAGCTTATACAATTTATTACAAAATGTTTATTATCCGCTGTATCTTTAAATTATTCATTTATGTATAAAAAATTAATCGTTTGTAAATTAAATATTTATGGATGAAAACTTTTTATGCTTTATAAACTCCTTCATAGTGTTATAAAATAAAATACACCTGTCGCGCTGATATTGCTTCTTCCATTTTTTTTTTTTTTTTTTTTTTTTTTTTTTTAAAAAAACACAGCATTATTAATAATATTACATATAATTAATAAAACACAGCATTATTAATAATATTACATATAACCACAATTTTGTAAAAAGTCTAGTATGCTCGTAAGAATGTCCGAGATGGAACGATAGGTATCTATCTATTCATATCGGATGAAAGTTAATTTCACCTGTCGCTTGTTGTGCAACGCCATCTGTGACATCATCGAGAAATATTGTCGAGATATGAGTGAGACTTGCCTCTACTTACGTGCTGGAACGTCAAATAGCGACACAAACAGGCGGATACTTTGTAAAATAAAAAAATTCTTGCTACTTAAAGGTGAAAAAGATAACCGAAATGAATGCCCGTCAAAAGCTTGAATACTACGCTATTCCTAGCTCACTCAATATATTAAAAGTCCTGTATATTAGTCACATAATGAAAAAAATACTTGAATGACGTGCAAGATATTAACTTCACTTTGTCTAAAGGTGAGATTTAACAAGTAAATGGTCATAGGCAGTTAAAATGCATTATTTTTTATTTAAGAACTCCACTCCCAATATAGTGTCGTGTATAATATTGAGATTTTACTTGATAATAATAGTCTTACAATGTCCTGGAAATTTCATTTTTACGATTAATAATAATAATAATAAGCCAATAATTAAATAATTAAAAAATAATTCGTTCGAATAAAGAATGACGAGTATAATGAAGAACAATGATATAGGTAATTTTATATACTGAAATCGTACTCTTAATAATGAAAAATAATTTATTATTAGTCATTAGATCGGGAACTATAAAATGTTATAAATATGCAATGAAGTGAAATATAAACTCGCATACTATACAATAAATTTGAAATAAATTGAAATAATTTTATTATCAAGGCTATTGACACAAATGCAAAGATAAATAAAAGAGAAGAGGCGTGCATGTTGCGTAAATAGTAGGTGTAACTGAATCTCCCTTTCATAAATCCGTTAATTCCCCCCCCCGCCATTGAATGGAATAAAATTCTTATTTTTACATTTTAAATTTTAATTTCACAACTTTGGAATGAATTAGTTTGAAAATTAAGATAAATTATATACTGTAAAAAAAGTCTGTTACAATATTTGCCTTTAAAACTAATTAACCTTATGATAATGTAAATTTTTAAAAATACATTGTCAAATAAGGAAAGTTTAGATTAAATTTGAATTTTAAGTACAAACGAGATTTCATAAAAACATTCTATGATCACTTCTAATATTTAAATTTTGAAATCCAATTCTGCTCAAATCCCTCCGACATTATTACATAAGTAATAAAGTAATCATAAGTCATATTTTTTAAGTAAGAAATTAAGTTTTAAATACAAATTTTTAAATAGAGGAAATAACGGATAGAATTTTTAAGCTTCATTAAATAAAAGTATTAGAGTGAACAATATCTTATAAATAATAAAAACTTCATACTTTGATTATAAATTAATACTTTTTAATGTATAACTACGAATAATATAGTTTTAAGTAATTAATGAATTGAAATAAAATTACTTTTTATGTTCATGCTGCGTACTAAGTATCGTGTAGTTCTCGAAATGAATGAATCTTGCAAAAAATTTGAAGAATGTAATAATTTCTAATAATAGTTAAAGATACTTTTATGTACGATTATTTACAAATTACTATGGTACAATAACTATTTTCTTAAAATTGATTTTGCCAATTTTACCAAAAATAATTTGGTTTACTTTTATTATCATTTTTCATTGTCTAACTAAGTATTTTCTATAATAATTATTTTATTCTACACTAATTGTTTTCTATATAATTCATCATATAATATAACGACTAAGATTTTACTTATAAATTAAAATTCTAAAAATAATTTAATTTATTATTTTTCAGACTAATGTTTACTAAAAAATAAAATACAAAATAAAATATCTATTACTTGTTTGTGAGCATTTGTAAATATTTTCAATTAAATTTTTCAGTCTGAAACTAGTACAATAAAACTAATGACACTGGTAAAATTAGTAAAATTTTATATATTTCATATTTACTATCTAACTGTACATCCAATAAAACCAGTGTGAAATCTTAAAAATTATTATGCATCCTTTTTAAAGAGTAAATCCTTTTTAAATGTGAATCTATGAAGGAGTATTTGATTTTAAAGATCGTTACGTTTCATCAAATATGCTTTCTATTTAAGATAATA